ATGGTCACCTCCTTGTACATTGTGGCAATGTGGGCAGTTTATAAATGAGGAAGGTATGAGGGCTAATGAATCTGATGTTTAAGAAATCAGTCTTAAGCAGCTCAAGAATTAAAGAGCTTTTGAAAACTTGGACTGATCTAAGCTCTGATATCTACCAAAACAGAGTGAGTGAACAAAGAAGCAGTAGACCAATATGATAACAATGAATCACAAAAGCATGAACTAAAAACAAACCATAAAAGAACCATTTTAATTGTGCAGAACATGGATTGAGTGTTTTTGCAATGCTGAATGTTCTATAGTAAGGATCTGAACAATATTTAATTGATGTGTAGCTGATCTATTTTGTTAGGCAGTGGGATACATGTGAATGAAGCTATGGTATTCAAAGGAGCCAAATTCCAAAGAAATTCACACAAAATTGTGCCATGCTTATGCACATAAACTGAGATACTTGAACATTGTTAAATTAGGAGAAATCATTGAGAATGTCATAGCAGGAATCCTAAGGAGAAGTATTAGCAATTCTGTATTTCTGGTTCATATGGAAATTCTAATACCACTTATGAAAATAAAGTACAGGTATGGCATTATTATGATTAAGACCTTATAACTGTAGAGATGTAGAGGGGTGTATTAATATTATAGACAAGTTTAGCATCAAATGTAAGCTGTGTAGCTAAATTAGCTTTATACTCCAGGCTGCATCTGGATTTCTTGTGAGCCTATTACCTTGTAAAGCTAACAGGAAAATAAACCTTCCATGCTTCTTAGGGTGCTCAGACATTAGCCAGTCTTTGTTTTTCCCTGCAGCATTTGTCCCTGGAGAGTGCCCAAATCTTCCAAAGCCTCTTTCAGAATGGCAGTATGTTATTTTAAAGCAGTAGTTAAGATCATCTTACTTGGGCTATGATGGCTGTTTCCCATGGCTAACAGCCATACTTGCCTCACAAATAACCTGAAAGTATGTTCATTTTTGCCAGCCCTCTTAGAAGAATGTCTATAGTGGTTTGCAGAAAAATAGCTTGTATAAATTTCAGTAACTCACCTACTTGTTTCTTTCTCTATGTGTCTTAGGAAAGCAAACAGAGGAGTTCATATTATAGTGGTTTTGGGGGATGACCATTAGAATGAGATAAGTTACTCCATATAGAGTGACTGTTTAATTCACTAGACTTTATTAGGTTCTATTAGAGGAGAGAAAACTAGGAAGGTTCCTTAAAGGACTGCAAAGGGGAAGAGTTTTGAGAGGCATAAAGTTGAAGTTGATATTACACCCACAGATAGATTTATTATTTTGGAAATGATGTGATAGCCATGTGAATGGCTTGGACAGTCAGTCATTTATTTATTCATATACTGTATATATTATAGAGTGTTCCTTCTGTGCTAAGGGTTGGGTTTAAAAGTTATATTTGAAGTGACACTTGGATGTAAATGATAAATATTAAATAATTAACTTACATAATAAACTTCATGATTTTGAAATTGTTCAGAAGTCCAATCTGAATTATGAAAGAGTCTAAATTAGAGCATTTTAAAAATGTCTTTTTATATCTTCCTGAACACACAGTAAGTCATTTTAGTTTAATAAAAGATGGAAAGAATTGGACTTTATTTATTGAAAGTATTTTAAAAAACTTTAATTACATTATTTGATTTTTTTAAGACAATATGTACTTATGATTTTATCCTCTTAGGAAGGTTATTACAATTCTGATTACAATCTTGATTAACTTAATACATCCTTTTCTCAGGATGATTGTACAGACAAGCTGCAGATCTGATTGCTTTGCTCTACATTCCACATTCCCACTACTTTGGTATGAATTATTTTGTACTCTAGCATGTTAAACTTTATGCTTCATCCTAGGACCAGATAAGTCCTCCAGGTGACTTGCGATTACTGGTATAGGCATTAGTCATCCACCATGTACAAATATCTCCTACAAATATTATGCTACCACCCCACCATACTTCCACCTTACCTGAAAAAAAAACACAACTTTTTCTCTTCATGCAAAATGTAGTCCTCTGATAGAAGAGGATACTTTATTCTTGATATATCTGACCCATCCCCTCAGAGTCTCTAATTACCATTAGGGGTAGAAGGTCAGACCATTCATCTAGCATCATCTATGGAAATAGATGTTCTAGTAGCCCCAGTCCTTTTTGTCTTCCTTTTCTTCCTCCTGACATTGGACACACACCAACCTCCCAAAGAAGACATTACATCTAAGCCTTTGTCTAAGCCAACCCTTCATCTCTGAACCTCAGAAGAAACCTGTGGAGATTTTTCAAGCCTGTTGGCAGCGGTGGGTGGAGGTGGGTGATCTTTTCCAAGCAATCTTGGCAGAGACTTAGGTAATTTGCATCTCCTCTTGGCACTTGAAGCTAATTTTCCCACTGATATTGGGAACCACAGATTTTTTTAAAAAATTCAGCTTAACCACATAACCATTACCCCCCCCCCCCCCCGTGGAAAAATGCATTCCAAGTGTTGACCATCTGAGTTAAAATTAATGGTGAAACTTTATTGGCATATTATCTGGGGACTGTTTATCAGCCCCAATGTAGAACAGCTCAGTTTATATAAATGCAATGTGTAGTACAAAGAAAAATGAACTCCATCAATCTCGAATTTTTGACAATTCTATTCCTGATCCTTCAAATTCTTAAAAAAAAGCAGTAGGTTTTCCTTTTTTCCCCCTCTCATAATCTAAAATGTAGTAGATAAATTCTTTGACTCTTCTGTGGAGACAAAGCAGGTGTCAGTGTAGTAAGTGCCTCTGTATGTCTTGTATTCTGGAGAGCTTAAGAATTCCTAGACATTTCAGATGTCCTTGGCTAATCATTTGTGTAAGAAAGAGTGGTGGCATAATACATGTGTGTGTGTATAAACTTATATGTAATTTAATATTTAGGGAAAGATGTATAAGAAACTAGCAATATCTGTTGCTTCCGAACTGGGGGAATGGGTTGCCTAAAACAGGCATCGAAAAGACAATTACAGTTCACTCTATAGCATTCTGTGCTACTTCATTTTTTTGCAGCACGTGGATGTCTTAACTATTCAAATAAAATTTAAAAACAAAACTAGAGGTCATTGGCTGGTCCGCTGTGTACCCTCAGCATCAGTTCTGATGGAGATGTCTAATAAACACGTTGAGGCTCCCACAAGAGTGACTACTAGCTTTAGCCCCGGTGGCCTTATCCCTTGGCTTGACTCTTTGAGTAGAAGGAATAACAAACGATGGGAAACTGTCTGCCATTTACTGGAGTGCTGTACGCAGCCTTAATGTCACCCTGTAAATGACAAGTCTTCTGTTCCAAATCGCCTTCCTCGCTTATGAACATTTCAAAAAGAAAGTGCCAGTCCGATACTTGGGTAGCCACCACAGCATGGAGTTGAAACAACAGTCCTTAAGACTGACCTTCTTGCAGAAACCGGTTTGGCTCAGTGGTAGAGCTTCGGTTGGTTGCAGGCACATCCCCAGTGTGGGGTGTGCAAGAGACAGCTGGTTGGTGTTTCTCTCTCACCGATGTTTCTAGCTCTCTATTTCTCTCCCTTCCTCTCTGTAAAAAATCAATATATCTATATCTATATCTATATCTATATCTATCTATCTATCTATCTATCTATCTATATATATATATTTTTTTTTATTTTTTATTTTTTTATTTAAAGACTGTCCTTCCTGTGCTGGACTGCATGAGGGTTTCCTGGAGAGTGAGGTTGATTTAGGGATCAGGGATCAGCTGCGGAGGCTGCCCATGGAAAAGACAAACCAAGCATTCACACCCCAGACCACTCAATACCAGCATTGTCTCCAATCCATCTTTCATAAGGGGGCTCCAGGAGGGGGAGGGGACGAGGGAAGGAGAGAAAAGAAACCTTTTTTAATCCTGTAAGTAAAAAGGCAGAAGCGGGGCAAGGAGGAAGGAGATAGGAGCATGAAAAGTCAGTTGCCAGGAATGTTTAACTTTGAAATCAACTTTGGCTTTTCATGTTAGCCTCCGTCTGTCAAGTTTATTCTCTGTTTTGCATTCCTCATCCCATCTTTCAGCACAAGTCCCCCTGGACCCCCCTTGCTTTCCTGCCCTTCTCTGTTTCACTCCCTTCCTCTGTCAAGGTTTGCCTTCTCTTCTTCTCATCCCATTTTCTTCCTTTTCTCACTCTCCCTCTCCTTCCCTGGACGCGTGCTCCCATTCTTTCACAGCCTGAGTCTCTCTCCTTGTCCCTTTCCCTTGCACAGTATCTCCAGGCTCCATTCCCTCTCCTTAAGGCAATCAGCCAGACCTCGAATGGAGCTGTTGTCCTGACAACCCAAAGGTGCATCAGGCTTTCATTGAGGCTGGCGCTGCTGAAGCGGGCAGTTGTGCAAAGCCAGGGGCCACGCCAAGGGGCGGGCAGTGGGAGGGGCTGCTGAAATCTGTGGGGGCAGGGGGCGGTGCTGAGCCCCGAGAGGGAGGGGCTGGAGAGAGAAACAGGAAAGGGAGGAGGGGGGAGAGAGGCTCTGGGCTGCTGCCGAGCTGCTGCGTGTGGGTTTCTTTGCACTCCCTGCTGCCGCCCGCCCGCCTGGGGAAAGTGGGTTACAGCGGGAAGGAGCTCCACTCAGACACACACTGGCAAAGGAGCATCCAGCTCCAGCAAGAGACTGGAGAACACCCTCCGTTGGCAGCTTTCTCCGCATCTTTTCCAGAGGGTTTTACATTTGTACTCTCTCTCTCTTTTTGGAAATTGTGTTCCTTTGACTTTCACCCCCTTTGCTTGGGTGTTAGGAGTGCTTTGTGAAGTCTGAGAGGGAAGGGAGCCTGAGGAGGGAGAGGGGCAGGGAGAGGCAAAGTGGAGAGGACCACCAACTGGCCGAGCCATTCCGCCCTCGCTGTGGATGAGAGCCCGCTGTGGGTGAAGCCCCCTCGGCCCGGGCCCAGCAGCGCGCCGAGCACACGCCCTCCCCCTCCGGAGCGCAGGACCCGCGCCCCGCGCGGCCGCCACCATGGTCGGCAGAGTCCAGCCCGATCGCAAACAGTTGCCGCTGGTCCTACTGAGATTGCTCTGCCTTCTCCCCACAGGACTGCCCGTCCGCAGCGTGGATTTTAATCGAGGCACGGACAACATCACCGTGAGGCAGGGGGACACGGCCATCCTCAGGTAGGGCTTTCGGGCAACTTTTCTACTATGTGTGTGTCTGTGTGTGGTGTGTGTGCATGTGTATCATGTTGTGTGTGTGCCCGTGCCTGGCGTGATCTCCTTGAACTCCAGCTCCTCATGCTGCAGGCGTGTGTGTGTGTGTGTGTGTGTGTGTGTGTGTGTGTGTGTGTCTTTCACTGATGGGCCGAGGTATCCGCCAACAAATTTCAAGGGAATTCCTTGGTCCCTACCAAGGACCCACAGGATTGGTTAAATGTTGTTTGGTTCTGAGGACCTTGTGTCTCTCATCATGAAAAGGCTGGCTTCCACTCTGGTGTTCATGACTTTCTGGACGGTATTCTTGCTGGTACAATTGCAGGTGCTGTGCGCTTCAGAGTTTTGTTGGGGTTCCCTAATTGGGAGAGAAGAGTTGTTGAATTATGGCTCTGAGAGAGTGGTACACAGTGCTGCATTCTCCCTCCGTGGTGTGGATGCGCGCGCATAGGCGCGCACACGTGTGTGTGTGTGTGTGTGTGTGTGTGTGTGTGTGTGTGTGTGTGTGTAAGCACATCGGGGCTCCCCTCTGCTCAGCAGGAGTCCTGTAGGAGACTTGATGTAAGCATCTTCTAATTGACATTGAGGCAATAAATCAATCTTAGAACTTTGGCTAATTGCTGAGCCTTTTTTTCTGGAATGTGGATAGAAATCAAGAAAAGAATAAGGAGATGACAAGGAGAAAATCATAGAACGTGCCAAATTGCAGATATTTAAGAACAGGAGTGTTAAGCGCAGAGGTTAGGGGAGAATTAACCTGGCATGAAATTGATATTTCAAGTTGATTACTGACCTCCAAGTCTTATCATTGTGCAGCTTTGCCAAACTCTGAAATAAACTTGGGGTTGAAATTTGGAAGGGAAGAGTCCCAAATCTTTGGTAGTTTGACCCCTGTAAGGGACAGTGAGCTAGAGAAACTCAAATAGAACATAACCGTAATTCTAGTTCTAAAAAGCTTCAAGCTTCTTTTTCTGTATTCCTCTTCTTTCTAACCCCCTATCCCTCCTGTACATTCCCCTTGTCCTTTTTCCTAGCTTTCCTTGAATTTCCATCAGATTCTAATAAAAAATTTTGAAAAAGAAGGGGAAAAAATGAAAGAAACTGTTCTCCTTAGAGAGCCTTTAAAATCTCATTTCCTCCAAATAAAATGACCCAGTGTCAGTTTGTCTATCTAGCTAATGTTGCCTGTTGTGGCAATAAAAACCCCAGTATACAATAGCAAATAAACCTCTAATCTGTGTGCAAGGAGCTGATAGTGCATAAACCCTGGGGCATCAGGGAGCAGTTCTGAGGCAGAGCTGCCTACAGCAGCAAAGTTTTCTTTCCTTTTCTCAGAAATAAATTTGGTTGGCTGTCACAGTCCTGCTTTGGGATCTCGAGGCTTGTTAGAGTGGTGTGTGTGTGTGTGTGTGTGTGTGTGTGTGTGTGTGTGTTGCTGCAGATGTAAAAACCCAGGAATTCCTAATGTGTAAGTACTCCTTCATTTCCTAAACATTGGATGATTATGAATCCCAAAGATCCTACTATCCAAAGCAGATTTTCTCTTCCAGCTCTCCAGCCTTGTAAACCTGCCTGCATGATTTATCCACATGGAGTAATAAGATTTATAGAGTAATTTATCTGTTTGCAGAGGGATTTGGACATGATGCAGATAATGTTTTTCCAAACACATAAGCATGCTGTCTTCACTGCTAGCTTTATGGTTCCTGACATCATTAACCCTTTGCTAATAAAGCAGTGTGTATCAATGTGTGCCATCCCTAGAAATATTTTTTTTCGCTGAGTATAAGATTGAGAATGGGAGAAGTGAATACCCTGGATGTCTAAGTTTGTATTTAAATGTGCACGAACTTTGTAAGGTCTTTCTACATCAGCAACACCTAAATCCTGAACTATTGATAGCAAAGAGTTAGATTGCCTTGAAATGTTAATTCAGAAAGAAAAAGGAATTCTTATACTTCCATATACTATAGGTATAGAAGTCTGTGTCTGTGAGAGCCAGTCTCACTACATACATATCTATATATAGTATACACTTTGCTTTTCTGAGTCTGCATCTCAAAAGAAATGGAGGTTTTAAGCTGTACACTTTAGTAGACATTGCAGTGTGAACTGGGGGGTAGTGAGAAAAGAGAATAAATATAGAAGCAGTTATTCCTGAGAAAAGGGGAGATAGACTCACAGAGCATGCAAAGTAGGCACCTGTGTGAGTCTGTTGCTCCCCCAGACCTCTCACCTCATGTGCCCTCCTTTTCATTTCCCTTGCCTTGGACAAGGCTTTATTTCTGGGTTGGTGGAGCTTGATCAGAAGTAACGAGAAAGAGAGAGTTCCCTTTGTTTTTTCAGCTGACCTTCTTCTCAATCTCTTTAACTGGATCCAGTAAGCTTTGTGGGTCAGTTTCCTGGTGAAGAATGGTACCCTTGCTTTCTGTTTACAAGTACAGCCTGGGAAAAGCTTGCTTCTACTTTGTGACATTTTACTGAGAGCATGCGCTTCCAGGGAGGAGAGGAAGGAGAAATGGATTCATTGGAAGCCACAGTGACTGTTTGGCACTGTGAAAGTGAAGTGGCAAGCAGGGGAGATCCTCCCTCAGTGAGTGTGTGGCCCTGACTAATCTGAAATGGCAACAGGAGGCCAGGGTGGTTGGTCATTCTGGTGGCACAATGATGGTGGCCCAATGACAGAAGGTTGGCCAACCGTGACCCTAAAACATTTTGCTTTACTACCTTATGTCCATAAAATAAATGTTTCCTTTGTGAATTGATGCTCATTTTTGTATAATTATGCTATTTGATGCATATTTACATAAAATGTACATTAGTCTTGGGGTCTTGTTCTGTACTTTCTATCTTTTGGAGGGGGAAAAGTATAGAATGAAGGTAACAAAACCAGATGGAAAAAGAGAGATACCCTTTATGTATGTAAATCTAACCTTGTTGTTTCCTAGAGAAGATTGTAAAACTTTATTCAGTCCTTTATGAGATTATTCAAGAGCTGAGGAAAACCGCAACACCATCTTTTATCTCACAAGCAAAGAATCAAAGCAGTAGCACCTGGGGATACTTCCAAGGCTTTCTGAATCAGCATTTGTGTTTGTATTTGTGTGAGCAGTGAAGTATGTAATGCATTTATTCACAGGACTTCATTTGTGAGGAGTCTCGGGTATATTTTTCCCAACAAAGCCCACCTGTCTCACTGCCACCCCCTATCAGCATAAGAGTTCATCAGCTACTGGATGAGATTCTACCATTAATCTTTCCAACCCTCTCTCCTTACACACAGGCACCAGTACAGATTCAGCTCCTGGTTTATCTTGGCAGGTTGAAACTATAGCTCTCTTGATAAGTCAAGGGAAAAGTAGAAATAGATAATGTTCCCATCTTTAAAATTTAATTTTCAACAGTTTCACAGAGTATATTTTCAGTATCAACAACATATATCTTTAAGATAACTATAAAATACTTGATTTCAATGTATTTGTTTTTAAGGTAACTTAGTCAAAATTATAAATGAATATATAGCATTCTGAATATATAGTATATCTGAATATATAGCATGTGTACACATATGGTAAAATGCAGGTGCTTTTCACTATTGTGACCTTAAATATTTTAAATTTGAGGTATTGAAATTTTATTTATTTCACGATTTTTACTCTACTTGATGTTTGTGGGAAATTATAATACTTCCTATGGTGATAGCATTTTTTCTCATTTAAATGTAAATGTACCTTATAAGTGTTAGCTGTATCTAAGTTTATGATAGTTAAATTTTTAAGTTTTAAAAAATTTAGGTTTTTTCCCTGCATGTTTCTACATTAAGGGACAAAAGAAGAATCAACACAAAATATGTGATTAATTGACCATAAAATGTAAACGTTTTATGCATTTTAAGGGAAAAAATGGTTCCCTTCTATAAGGCATCTGGAATGCCTATATTCACTAAGAAAGTGTCAACACTCAAACTTACTCCTGCCACAATATGTGGTTCCCTGTAAGCTATAATTATCTATGTTGAAACAAACTTTGTGGGCATGGGTCTATAGAGAGAACTTGAAACAATTATAAGGTTTTTTGTTTTTGTAACTACATCACTAAAGGTAATCAAAATATATTGGTTATTACTGATATTTCAAGAACCATCCATTGTCCATAAAATCCTTTATTAAATATAGTATTTGGCAAATAATGGAATATAGCATACTGTGTATTATCTAGGAATATGACATATTATATACATTTAAAGGATGTTTAGGATTTTCATGTTCCTGTGAGTTATATCATTTGTTGTCACTTATAGCCTGAGGAACAAATGCAGATTGTGATAATTTGTTTTTCTGTAAGTACAAAGCACATAAGTACACACAAATACACACACACACACATAAACACCCCCCCACACACACACACATACATACACATATTAAGGTGACTTCTCTGTTCTATATAATTTAACTTTGAATGAATTATTTATAGAATTGTGGTGCAAACCATGAAAAGAGATTATCATGAAAAGTGACAGACTCATTCACAAAATCAGTGGGTGAAGTTTAAACATTGTGTTTCTTTAAGCTGGTTCCATATAATAGCAAACTCAGCACAAAAGGAATAGTGCCTTTTGCTATGGTCTCTGAGAGCTCCAGGTAAAATGGTCTGTGACTCATCTGATAAGAGGTTGCCCAGATATGTGCTGGTCCCTTCACTGTCATTACCTGAGCCTTAGAGAGCTGTTCCCTTCAGACCATTACTGAGGGCTTACAGCCATTTGCCATGTTCTTTTCTGAATGTCCTATTTGTTAATTTGTAAGACTCAGAAGATGTGGACTCAATTTTAAATCTATACTTGCATGCAACATGACTTTGACCAAATCCCTTAAATGTTTTGAGCTTTAGTTGTGTGTGTGTGTGTGTGTGTGTGTGTGTGTGTGTGTGTGTATATATATATATATATATATATATATATATAT